TACGCTTAAAATTCAGTTCTGTCCTCAGGCTCTTTTTCTATTGATCATTATTTAAATATTTCACCCAGAAGTGAAATAGTAGTCCAGGAATTGTCTAGTTCTGATATCTTTTTTCTATTAATTAATGAACCTTGGAATTGAGTTGCTGGTTTGAGATGTGGGGGAGGGGCAGTTTCCATTTCATTGTTCACTCCTTGAATATAGTGATGATTGCAACCGCTAGGTTTTTCATACTGGCTTCTGTGTTTGTACTCAAGAACTGACTTATATTTATTCCTGAGAAAGTCCGTCTTATCAGATTGGGCTCATCATTTCAACCATCCCTTGTGGTTTTATGTCCTTGGCACCAAAGCCAGAGTAGGCTAGAGCTGAGGACAGAATTTCTTAGTCTTGCAGTTAGATCTGTATTAATGCTTTAAACATATTTAGTTAATCAGTACTTTTCGATAATATGCTTTTTGAAAAAGCATATTTAGAAACCATTTTTCCTGTTGAATTGTTTTTTTACATTTAAATGACATTCTCTGAAGGATCTTAGGAAAAGAAAAAAAACAAACCCTTAAGTTTGATTAAATTTTATTAGCCATATGGTGAGTAACAATGAAAGTAAATATAGAGCGTTGAGAATACTCTTAACTTCTTGAAATATGAAGTCATATTTGTGTCTTTTAAACTTCATTTCTTTGTACTGGTTTGGATAGTGTTGTAAACATTACTTATCTTTGAACCTTTTTTAGTGTTCCAAAATACTCTAGTCATAATGATCTTTTATTTATTTTTTATTTTTTTAAAGATTTTATTTATTTATTTGAGAGAGCAGAGCCAGAAAGAGAGTGCAGGAGTAGGGGGACAGGGCAGAGGGAGAGGGATAAGCAGACTCCCTGCTGAGCAGGACTCTGGGATCATGACCCCAGCTGAAGACAGATGCCCAACAGACTGAGCCACCCAGGCACCCCCATAATAATCTTTTAGTGCTCAAAAGTGTGGGCTTTGGAGTAAGACTGCCTGGGTTGAATACCAGCTCTAGTTAAAGTGACCTTGAGAGTAAGTTAATCTTTCTAAGCCTCAGTCTGCTTGTCTCTAAATTGTAAATTAAAATAATGGCTATCTCTTGGACGTATTTTTAGGAGAAAATCAGTAACATCTAGAAATAAATAGTAAGGTCTCAATAAAAGTTGTCTTTTACTAGTACCATTTTTTTAAATATTACAAAGTCATTTTGGCTTTTTATAAGATAAAATAATTTTAGCAGTAAGTTTGTGTTTTAAAATTAGTTGGTGCTATGTTTTAATTGTGACCCACAATGCGAGTTTTAGATTTTTTTTCTAAGAAAATTACATACTCTAGGAAAAGTTCAATATTTAAGTATTTTTCCTTTTATTGTTACTAATTAGGTCCCACCAACTTCAGCTGATCTGGTTGAACAATTAAAGCCCAAAGTAGGAACTCTGTATTTGTCAAATCCTCTCCTAATAATGGCCATATTTTTATTTCTTTCTCAACCAGATCTTATAAAACTTCAGATTCTGATTGAAATTATACTTCTATCAATGTAGCTAGTTTTAAGGGTTCCTTTAAAAGTCTGTTTTCATAATTATAGTCTGTATCTTTATAATGACTCATTTCCCTGAAATGCATTTCATTTTCAAGTAATTCTGATGCATAAACCAAGAAGTTATCTGCACATTCAGCTCTTCTTTTTTTTAGGGAAAGGCCTCTTTAAAGCCAGTGTGATAAACATCAGGTCATTTTTTTGTTACATGATCTCCTTAAATATTAAACTTGTATGTGTTGTTGACCTGCCCTTACCAAAAGTAATGTAGTACATTAAGAATCCAATACTCTGTTATAAAGTAAGATGTCCTAAGAAAGGTAAACATTTTTTCAGGAATGTTCAAGCATTAATAGTTGAAAAGTGGGTAAAATTAAGGGATGTCAGTTGGCTTGGGCATGTGTTTAGTTATAAATGCTTGCCTAAATCCGCATTAAGCTAAACTCTGAATCTTTTGGGATGAGCAGAAGAGGAGGTGATGGCCGTGAGGGTTAGTGGTCAGTGGGAAGTTACCCAAGTGAAGGATGAGAGGGTGTCCCAACCTGCCAGCATCACATGGACGAAGGTATAGGGGGGAGAGAACTATGAAAATGAGAGTGTTGAAGGGCTTTAAGCAGAAGAGTGACTGAGGTTTCCTTGGAAAGGTATTCTGACAACTCTGTGGTAAGCAGAGTGCCTCTATTAGATACAGTCTAGGTTTGGGGTGTAAGTAGTACAAAGAATCATGAATCATGGAAAATCAACTGCTACGCACCCTGTGGTTTTCCTGAAAATGCTCTTGCCTGGTTTTAGTTTAGAGAGTTAATTGAGTCCTTCCTGGGATCCCCTGGTTCTGCCTCTGGTGGTGGGTGAACTAACACTTGGTCATCATTTTCTCAGGAATTAGTTTTGCATAGAGGAGTTTGACATTGGCCTAACTTCCTCCCCAGGTTCCTGGTAAAATTGGTCCCTTTGTGAAGAAACTTGACTTCCTCTAACAGGGAAAATGGCCTGAGCTCTTTCCTTAGGAGGCTCTGGGTTACAAATTATATTTTCCTAAGGCCGTTGGATGCTACATTTATCTGTGCAGCAAGAATACATTAAGCACCCATTGTGTGTTCTTTGGTGGGTTGGCAGGATGTCAGCTGAATAAAAGTGCCCCTACTTGAAAGGAGCTCAAAGCAAATATTTAGGAGAAGACAGCCTCACTAGGCCCAGAGTGACTGGACTCTTCCCGTAATAGAGATTACAAACCGGGTGTCCTGTCATCTTGCATTCCCAGATTGTGTTTAGATGAAGTTTCGTGAGTGTTTCCTGTATGCTAGCTTGGGCCATAAGCACCAAAGAGTGGGAATGAGATTGATTCAGGTCCTGTTCATTAGAGAAGTCTGGAGAATGTGGAACATCATCTGACAAAAACTAGGTTCTAGATGCTGCATAAGCAGTGACACAAGACTAGCTTCATGGGTGTGCGACCTCTGCAGTTGCAGAGGGCCATGCACTTAGGAAGGCCCCCTGCTTGGTTAAATGGTATGCTGTCAGCATCTTGAAATTCTTAATTTTTGAACAAAGGGCTCTATATTTTCATTTTGTGCCAGGCCTTGCAGATTATGTAGTCTGTCCTAAATTTATGGCCAACATTGAGGGAAACTATAGATGAAAAGACCCCAACAGTGGGACGAGGGGGTGGTGGCCCTCTGAAGTCACCAGGCACTTCATAGGGAAACCGTAGGCTTTAAATATTCACCACACTCAGATGGCAAGGCTAGTCTTCCAGTTGAACCAGTCAGGTAGAATCGCCCTGCTCCCCTTACCTCCACGCCCTTCCAACCCAGAGAGAACAGCGAAACCACTTAGAAAGAGGGGGAGAAGACTTGTGTAAAGGGAGAGATGTTTTCATGAACCCTCCTTTCCCAGGTGGTACGTATTACCCTGCCACAGATCTTCACTGGGGAAAGGAAGCGGTCATACACTCAAGTTGGATTTTCTAATCAAATTGAGACAGGTTTATGTCTTAAAATGACTATAGGACTTGTATTTAGAGAAAAGTAAGAGGGGGAAAAAAAAAGTAAGAGAAAAAGCATAGGGATGTCTCAGATTTTCATCCAGGGGTGGGGGATAAATGACTACATGGAATAAAAATTAAGAGAAAAGTGAAGGAAGGCAAAATGAACTCGCTTTTGAAATTGCATCTTGGAAGTGATACTTAGTGCATTGATCACTTCTAGAATTTGAAGAATCTAGAAATATCAAATGCTTTTTGACTCAGAAATCATGTTGACTTTTAAGTTTAACATGATCCTCTGAAATGATGCTAGCTTAAGTTTAATGGTGAAATTGGGCTTTTTGTAAACTGTATTTCTTAATCTAATTTGGTAATAGGAAAAGAAATGTTAGATTTATCACTTGCACTTGTGTTTATCTAGTTGTTGGCTTGCTCACAGTGGTCTAAAAATGGAAAAGTCTAGTTCAGTGCAGTTACTTTTATTTTTTTTTTTTTTCAGTGCAGTTACTTTTAAAGTGAGGAAATTTATGTAATATTTCTTTAGAAAGCACATTTAACATTTTGGACAATTAGCTTGATTTATTGTAAAGTAGTTTTTCCACTGGCAGTGACATAGAATAATTTTTTCTGGTGGCAATTCCACATGACCTGAGTTTGGAAAATATTGCTAGTTTCAGTATATTTCTACTATTTTCCATTTTATGCAAAGACTGTTGTAGGCTAATTATAGAAAATTGCGTTTAGTGCCCTGTGGATGTGAAATTAACTTTGACGCTGACGACTGACACTGAGAGTGGAATGAGGTTACATTCTTTCCTCGAACTCTGTGAACTCTATTTTCATGCCCTTCAACAATGAGATATTTGCATCTTCTTAAATCTTCTAGAGGTTTTTTTGTAGTTTAGTCAAACTTCACAAAATATGAATGTTGTGACTTTTTGACATAAAAATTTCATCAAGTATTTTCTTCTTTAGCAAATATCCTTATAAATTCTTACTCTACAAAACTTGTAGGAGATTTATATTTTGTGACTTAGCTTGATAAGTATTATGTGAAATAGAAGTTCTGTCAAGATAGAGATAATTTTATTTTTGAACTTTTGCTAGAAGTTATTTTAATTGTTGGTATTTCTGATTTTACTTTAAACTAGAAAAGACTGTACCTAAAACACAGATCCTTGAAGGAGTGAGCATCAAGGGAAAAAACTGTATTTGCGTCATTTGTAATTTAAAAGACATTCTTTAAGGAAGAAAATTTGAAAGTAGGCTGAATGGCATGCCAGGCTAGTCAGGGATTGGGGTCACATTCCCCTCGCTTCTCGCTCAGCGCCTGACATCATACGTAAGCCATTACTCAAAACAGTTGTGAATACCATTTGGAAAAGTAATCACGAAACCTTCTTATAAATATCTTTCTGTATATTTTTATTTCTTTCTCAATACATTCCTCTGATTTTGTTCTAGGCCCGCAGGAAGGAGGTATTTATCCAGGAACGGTATGGGAGATTTAATTTGAATGACCCATTCTTGGCACTGCAGAGAGACTATGAGGCAGGTGCCGGCGATAAAGAGAAGAAGCCAGTTTGTACCAACCCCCTCTCCATCCTTGAAGCAGTCATGGCCCACTGCAGAAAGATGCAAGAAAGGATGTCCACGCAGCTGGCTGCTGCTGAAAGCAGACAAAAGAAGGTATTGAGGCTTTCCAACGTTTTTCCTATAACACAGTAGGATGGAGAAGCCATCTCCAGGCTTGTTGTTTGTTCTTTTTTTTTTTTCTCCCTTTGGTGACTTTAAATTTTTATTTATTTATTTATTTAGAATTTTATTTTATTATGTTAATCACCATACATTACATCGTTAGTTTTTGATGTAGTGTTCCATGATTCATTGTTCGTGTATAACAGCCAGGGCTCCATTCAGTATGTGCCCTCTTTAATATCCATCACCGGGCTAATCCATCCCCCCACTTCCCTCCCCTCTAGAACCCTCAGTTTGTTTCCCAGAGTCCAGGGTATTATGCTAAGGGAAATAAGTCAGTCAGAGAAAGACATGTATCATATGATCTCACTGATATGAGGAATTCTTAATCTCAGGAAACAAACTGAGGGTTGTTGTTTGTTCTTAAATCTCGTCATATTTTCAAGAAGGGTGGGGATAGAGACCTCAAAAGGCAAAATGCTGACAGATTCTGGTGGCCCTTTTCAAATATAATTCAAAAATAACACTAGGCTATAAAATAAGTGTAACAAAGAAATTATGTTTCCTATAAAGGTTACTTTGATGCTTTCTTTAAAATATGCTTTTTTTTTTTTTGGACTTCCCTTTCCTAATGCCATAAGACATGCTTAACTGCTAGGTGGATGATCCAGTATTGCAGCCAGGATGCTGATCAGATGGTAGCATCCCCAACTTATTTATCCAGCTCCTGTCTCAAATATTTCTTTGCAACTAGACATCACTTCTTTAAATTATGTCTTTGGAAAATGAAATTAGCATGAGGAGAATAGAATGAAATTTGTGTGGTATATGCAGTCTCACAACGTGTCATCTTGAAGTCCTGGTTCATCTCAAACTTGCCTCTGGGGTCTGAGGGCTGTGTCTGCTGCAGGCCTCCAGGCTCCTGCTCACATGTGTTTCATTTAAACCAACCTCCCCGCATCTTCTCACCTCCCCCACCAACAGACACACGTATTTATTACTGTACTTGAGTACATGCTTCCAAGAGTCCTAAGTGATAAAAACTGAGTTACTGCCATCAGCCATAAGGAAATAGAAGTTCAAATTTTGTCCTTCTGATAGACTGGCCAGACTACTGATTCCTTTATGAGAAGAGAGTGAGGAAGTCAGAGAAGCTAATAATATCTAGTATGATTCGAATGAAAAGTAATCTGTTCTTCCAACCATTATTAAAGCATACATTTCAATGTTTCTTCTATTTGTCCTTTTCAGAGAACTTGTTATAGTTCACATTTAACACCTGGTTGATGATGAACCTGAATGCAGTGTACTGTAACTATTTATGATGCTGTCATTTAGTGTGTGTGCTTTTGTCCCTGCAATTATATCCTTGCATTGACATGTGTGCCCACGTTCTGGTATAGGTGTTGAATGAAAGCAAACCTCCTCTTCAGTATGTCACGTGGTAGAATACTAAAGCACCGGGTAAAATAGCGTAGAAGACAAGAAGGCCTTCCATGGATGCAAGGCAAAATCAAACAGTTTTACTCTGGACTTTGCAAACGCTTTACAGAGCCCTGCAGAGCAACCACTGAGGTCTCTGGAGATTTTCAGAAATCCCCAGGTGTCACTGAAGCTCATTTGTATTTCTTGGATGAGACACGTTTCAATTATGTTCTTAACATGTCAAATGAGCTATTTCATAATAAAATATTTCTGCTGGGTTTTATGTTGCGTTATCAAAAATCAAGAAAATATTTTGTTTTCATTGTAATTTGCATTTAATGTATAAAAATGCATGCTTTCCTAAATTTTACTTCAGTTTTGCATTTTATGTATCATTTCTCTTGTAGAAGAAAAAGGAAGGAACTCATTTCAAGTTGAATCAAAGATTTTATTATCTAGCTGATTTTTTTTTTTAATCAACTTACATCCTGTTTGTTTCTGAATGACTGGGTCATTTCCAACCTGGCTGGGAGTGAAAGGAAATTGTTTCTGTCCTATGGGTCCTGAGAGGCTAATACGAAATGAGCCAGTGATCTGTCTCCCACGTATAACGGGGATACAGGAGTCCTTTATGGCCAAATTCATTGGCCTGTGTAGTCTCAGTGAAAAGTTGCTCTGATAGGCAGTGCAGCTCTTTGTCCATAAAGAATATTCTCTTCTGGTAGATTGTAGCATGTGAGAAATTAGATTGTGTACTCTTATCCTGAATCTTTACTTATAAAAAAAAATCATATCAGCTGATAAGAGCAGAAACACCAAAGTCATCTTTTTAGCAACAAAATTACCTGTCACCTTTAGTCCTTAAAGTAAATATTTTAACCAAACATGTTCATTTCTCTTGCATATAGAATCAATTGAAGTTCTAGAAATCTAAATTCAGAAAGACAAAAAATCCATTATTTTAAATGAGTCCAGTTCTTTAAATTACTGCCAGAGCAGAAGTCAGGGAAAGCAAAGGTCCCATTATCTACAATTCAAGTATGTATTATCTGATACTGGACCTAGCTCTTTGGTAATTCCAAGACATTTGGCCTGAACACTGCTCTGGCTGCCCTTTCAAGGCGGGAGAAAAGGCTCCATGCTCATTCAAGCATTGATTCCTGCTGAGACTACTAATAGGAGGGTTAACTGTTTGGTAATTTGTGTGCCAGGAAAATTTGGGCAGGAGTCAATTTGGCAGATGGACTAAGCCTGTAAAGCCACTTTGAATAAGCTAATGAGTAATCATCATGGGGAACTTTGCCTCCAGTAATCTACTTTCTGTTTAGAGCCAGTAACCTAGGGTGGAATGATATTTGGGTTTTTTATTATTTATCATGCGCATCATATGTTAATGGAATTTCTGTTCTAATTTATTTTCAGTCCTTTATTCATACTTATAAAGTATAATTTCTAGCCCTGAAATAGGAAAGACCTTTTAATTTGAACAGAGCCTTTAAAAGCCAGAAGCCAAAATAATAACTAGGAAATTCGGAGGGGAGCAAATTTTTTTTTTTTTTTAAACCAGTGACAAAACTAACAGTCGTTCTGTGTATTAGCTATAGCTTCTTCTAGGTGACAGCTTAGTATAATGAGGTAAGTTGAAAGGCACTAGATGTGCTGGCAGGATTCTTAGTTGTGAGCTAGTGAGCCAGTATTCATGGAGTTAAGCAGGGAAGTGTTTTGGTTGGCTTACAGCATGGTAGAGCATGGCTGGGAAAGCTAGGGGACCAGGTCTCAATCAGCCAGCATCACTGACAAATGATCCCTGTCGATCCTAGTCTGCAGTGGGTAAGACTTCTGCTGATGAGAGGTGAGTACTGTAGCTTGCTGACGCCAGACAGCATGACTACCATCATGCTCTAGGTCTTGAGTGGTGCCTCCCCTGGCCCTGCTTTTTGCATCACTCATTTCCAAGGTGAAGCCTAAGAGCAGGTGCATTTGGTTGGCCAAGCTTAGGCCCCATACCCTCTCTCTGGCTATAAGGAAGATCAGGAAAGCAGATATTGGGCATATTTAGCTTCTACAGGGGAGAATCATAAGGTGGAGAATTCTCCTAACATAAGAAGGAGTTTCAGGTGCTAGACAACCAAAGAAATGACAAAAGGGTCAGAAAAGAACAATCAAATTATTTGTTTTAATTTATTTCATATGCCTTTTCCTTCCTATGATGAATAATTGTACTTGGTTCTACCATTTGTATTCAGCACTCTCTACTTCATTGTATAATACCATTATATCAATATATATCATTATATATGCTTTGTAACATAGAAATACAATTTAATTTTAAGTTGCTTTCCAGACTTTCAAGAATAACATGATAGAGAATCATCTAAAATAATATTTTTTAGAAAGAGTATTTAGGACATCTGGTACAAAAATGGTTGCTTTTTAGCTCATTCATGAATCTTTTTTTGTATAATTCATTTTGACTCCCCAGGAGCGTTGCAGAGTGATTATTAAGAGGGGAACTGGAAACTGCGGCTCTGAGCAGAGATATAGAAGAGAGGGTAGTTCACCTGATCCATGTCTTGTCCTCCCTCTCTTGAAACTCTAGATGAAGAGGAAAGGTCAGATGAGAACTGCAGAGCATAATGCTAGCTATAGCCCCTATAAAGAAAAAAATATTTTAATGTATCTCATTGTTAGATACTTGTTGACCAGGATTGGGCAGATGGGTGGAGGTGACCAGGTGGAGAAGGGAACAGGATGCGCTGAGTATTGAATGATTTGGGGGAGCAATGAGGAATATAGTTAAATGTCATAGAAGTATTTTATGGTTGTGACAGACATGCACTCTGCTTTCTCATTTTACAATTGACCATAATTGCTTTTCTCTCTGTTTTCCACTTTGAATTAGAACTAATTGCCTTTGCATTGCTGCTCTGCTCCCACCTACATAGTTTTCCCTTTCATTCTGTAAAAACAGTTGTTTGGTGCTTCTTCATTCATGGTTTCCAGTCTGGGTGCTATTCTTGGAGCAACCACCCACTTTCTCACTACCAATGAAGCTGTCTTAATTCTTCTAAGCTCTTCCACACAGTCCACTGCTTTTTGCAAAAAGGTTTGGTGATACTGCTGGTGCAGAATTCCCCTTCAAAGGGAATTTGGCCACTACTTAAAAATGGTTGTGAGTATTTACAAACTGGACAATAATATAACAAAGTCAACCAGAACTCCATAATCTATGTATATAGGTGGCAATGATTCCTTCATAGTTGTAGTAAAATGTGATTGAGTTGGGGGCTGTCTCTACCCAACTCATTAGGTCTACAGCCCCTAGGTCCCTGCTCAAAACTGTCCCATATTGAGCCAGTGAGAGCCCTTTTAAGCTGACTCCTTTTGATATGTTTCCATCATTCTTCAAGTACTTCCTTATTTTCTTGCAGCAAGCTATTCCCAGATCATCTCATCTTTTTCCTATCCCAACCTCTGGAATTAGCTATTACTCCCAGGACCACTGATTTCCCTTTTAATGGAAAGCAGTGTTTAGAAACAAATCTAGAGCTAGGAAATTATGTATA